GAGAAAATAGACTATACTTTTTTATATGTTAGATATTAAGAATGAGTTTCGTTTTTGTTTTTCAAGAAATTAGCAAACTCCTCATTCTCTAAATTAACATAACACCTCCGAAAAAGCTTGAGGAAAGAACCTCAAGCTTTTTGGGATTTGGCCTCTACTATTTCTTCTATTCCACTACCTATTGACGATGAGGCAGATTTTTAATTTGGGAGCTTCGATTATTTGGCGTTGGTTCATTTCACCTCTTATCTGTTTAACTCGGCGCATTTTTCATAATAAGCGCTCTACTGGTAATCAACTTAAACGAGCCAACATTTCAGTTGTTTCAGTTTGTCAAATCATCTTCACTTGAGGAGTTGTGGCGTGTTTTCACTAGCCAGTCTTTTTCTTTTGGTGTGTTAGTGTGAACTTCCAAATGAAGCAAAAGGTGTTTAATGTTTTCACTGGCCAGCTCTGAATCATTATTTAACGTTTATGCATCTCTGTTTTTTGGTAGAAAACATTTATGCATCTCTGTTCATACATGTACTGCATTCCATTTAAAGCTTCTTCAATAGCAGCCAGCTAACTCAGCTCTGAGACTTATGTTGCTTCTGCAGAGAGCAAGAGTGAGTAAACAGTCGACATCGTGGCTTAAAAATTGCTCTGTAAATTGACCATCGCAATCTCTCTACTCATTCCCCTATCTTGTTTTCAATATAGGTATGGATTCATTCTTTCTTTCTTATATGACAATGTGACATCATTTTACCGTATAAATGTCATAATTTGAATTGTTGGTTCTCTTTATTGTCATACAAAGATTTGGAAAAATACCTTTATTTTAAAGATATGAATAAGTTGACAATTAATCATGATGATATTACTTGTTACGACAAACGTTGATTTGATCGACAAATATGAATGGCCAAATGGACTATAAATAATATAAATGGCCCAGCCCCTCTTCCTTAGTGTAGATAATATCATTTGTTAAGAAAAAAAAACTTTATTGTCCATAATTATATTTTGTGATAGAAGGCAAAAAAAAATTTCTTCATCTTTTGATTGACAAAGAGGGTTTTATTAATATGTAGTTTAGATTAACACTCCATTCAGCCAAAGGGTAGTGCTATGACGCACCCTTGTCAATTTTCATCCATTGATCTTTTTCAAGTCATTTGATCTGTCAACTACAAATTGAAAGTGATGCATGAGAGGTAATAGGCGTGTGGATAACATCACCACAACCAAAAATATGGAAGTCCCAAGTTGGCCTGCTTGTGAGTGTATGGGCTGAATAACTTTGTGACAAGTGCATGGGCTCTTAAGCCTCTGAGGCCCAATTCATATGTGCACTTTCTTTGATAGAGCTGAAGATCAAGTGATCATTGCTTTCGGTTTTTTGTAGTATGGTGAAGCTCAAAAATTTTGACTCATTTTAGTGGCCTTTCTCAGCTGAACAACATATTCAATCAGCATATTATGGAGCCTTTTTTATATATACAAAATCATGAGATAGTTTCGCTAAACTTGTTCAAATTATGGAGAGGGAAGGTTCGTACTTGGATGTAAAAGGCGGAACATACTGTTGTAGCCACCTTAGTTAAATCTATGTTTGAATTAGGGAAACGATTTTCCCACACTTCATTTTATCCGTCTCTTGATTTTCTTTGAATTATTCAAACCAACAGCAAAAAATAAACAAAAATGTGTAGAGTGAGAGTAAAAGAGTATGGAAATCACTTCCCGAAAATTATGCCGAGCAAACAAAAAAAGGTTAATAACAATAGTAATTCTTGAACTTATATCCGTGTTTCACTTTGATAATTCAATTTACTTTTGTTTAGCCAAGTTTTATTTGTGGTATCATAATGTAGGTGATATTGGTTAGCTTCTGTCCACCCATACCAATTAACTTAATTTTGGTTAGCCAAGTTTTATATGCGTATTTGAGACCAATAAGTTGAGTCTTAAACCTTGAAAAACGAAATTAAACCTTCAATCTAATTAATCTTGGTGAACCACCAAGTTGGCCAACATATATTTGATATTTTTCGTGCCAACCACAATTGTCTTTGTCATGCATGACTAGTCTTTATGGATGGTTCGCTTAAGACACCCAAGTCCCCTTCTTGCAAAACTTACTAGAGAGTACGTATCTCCTTTTAGTTTTCTTTTCACTCTTTTTCATTGTTAATTAATTAATAATAGACGTCAATGCTCTTAACCACTCGAACTATAAGCGTTTTTGGATTTTATGTGCAACTCGTACATAAAATATGAGTTGACACAAGCACTATGTCAACAAAGAAAAAAAAGTGATTTTCGACACTCAATTTTTCTCTTCTTACACATCCATGTTTATTTACAACATTTGAATTAAATAGTTTAAAAAAAAATCAAGTACAACAACAACAATAACAAAGTTTTTTCCTATTAAGTGGGGTCGGCTAAAAAAAAGTGTGCAAATATAGATTCGTGTGCAAAAGTGTGCAAATATTATTTTCCAAAAAAAAAAAGTAAAAGATATATATAGATCCGTGTTTCACACATCCAAAGAAATTTAAAACTTTACCATAAAATCAATCCAGAATATCAAAACGGCATGAAGCTTAGGCTAGGACCAATAATGACGAAAGAAAAAAAAAACACTAGACAAATGAAAAGGTGCCGAGTTTGGGATCATGTTTGATAGCAATAATGACCAATACAAATTATTCAAAGTGGGTTATTTAAGTGTACTCGCGTCATCCCTCATATATAATAAACTTGAAATATTGTCTTCCGAAAGCGAAACTAAAGAAAACGAAGGGAGACCTTTAGGCCACCAAGAAAACAAAACAAATAGATATCCCTTAATTAATTAAATCATTCTTACGTATGCACACTCAATCTTCAAGCATGAGTCTTGCTTACCTAAGGTTTTCATTTTGAGGTTCTGTAAGCTCTTGAAACTTCATCTTGCTATTTAAATTCAATTTGGCTAACCAATTAGTTGCAAGATGACGCTTTCTATGAACATGCTGCACATTATAACTTCAGTTCTCTATAATCAAACTTTTGCACTATGAGACAAGATCGTAGAGAGGATGATTATTAAGGCTAGGCGAACCATGAAAAAGAGAGACCACCAAAGCAGAATCAATATTCACAATAAGATGAGAGAAATCTCTAGCTTAAGCCATCTTCAACTCATAAAACAAAACCCAAAGCTCAGCATGGAGAACTTTCCTAACTCTTTTTTTAACAATAAAATCAATGATCCAGTAACCGTGCTAATCTCTAATTAATCCTTCACTTCCCATCACCCCGTTAGAACTAGTGTTCTTAAAAACGGCCTAGGCGGCCGCTTAGGCGCTGGGTGGTGGTGACCCGAGGCATTTTCTTACAAATCAGTTAGAAAAATCGGCTAGGCTCTAGGTGGCTAGGCGGTTTTGTTTTTTGTTTTTTTTTTTATGAAAAAAACAAATCCTATCTACATTACTATATTTCCTTATTTTCCTCCTATTTTGCATTTTATGTGGTTTTAAATTGTGAACTTATTGTACATGTGTCATCCTACAATACTCCTTACTATGGTTATATGACATATATGCTTAACGTGATTTTAAATTTTGGACTTGTTGGATACTCTTTTTGCATTTTATCATTTTTTTTATTATCTTATACATAGATTTCATATAAGTATAATTTTTTGTAAGTGTCAATATGCATTTATTTATAAGATATACAAGAAATTTACCTAGATCCACCTAGGCCGCCCAGACCCCGTCTAGCCGCCTAAACACTAGGTGTCAACCCGCCTCCCAACTAGAGTCTAGCGTTTTTTAGAACTTTGGTTAGAACCAAGCCTCCAAAATAATGCATATTATCGTATACTTATTTACAATAAAAAAAAAATTAATTAACTTAAGAATGGACCCGATTGGCAAAGGATTTGGTAAACTTTCAGAAAATGATTATGAAAAAAAAAAGGATTTGGCAAAGGATTTGATAAAATCTTGAGTCTACCATTGCTGCAAAATGAAGATTGAGTGTTACTGTACCAAATGCTCTGATATCGAGGGCTTTGAAGTAGAAGTTAGAAAATAAAGGAATTAATTTTTTAAGGGTAATGTTAGGAAGACTAAATTTAAAGATAAAGTTTTGAAAACTAAAGGACATGAAAGTTGATTGGTTTATTACTTAAACGTCAATAAACGTGCTTATTTCTATTGGTGACATATAATTTAGTTTGCAAATTTAATTTCTCTAGCATTACTCATTTTTGAATAAAAGAAAACCATATATTTTAATCACTCATGAATCATGAACGTATTGTTGGCGTAAGTCCAGTTTAGAATATATTACCAATATTGTTCTAACTTAATCAATTAATATTGAATGTTGGAATTTATCTCAAAAACTTCAATAATATTAGAAGTGAAATCTCACATATAAGTTGTACGTTATTTGTTATATTTTCAATATGAGACTCTATTCTTCAACATATATGTGATGACTCATGAAGTTGGACCCAAAACAAATGTTAAAATCATGATGTATTTCTTGACTGTTGAACATTAATTTTGACCACTAGTTCTTTTCTCTCGTTTGAATTTACTTGGAAAAAACTTTCTGCATGACCAGTTCATACATTTGCTTAATGATCTGTCCTAAGATGAAGACATTGTCTTAGTTTAAGTATAACAAGTTAAACCCAAACCAAAGCCTCACTAGAAAATGGTTTCTCTACACTCATACTCAGACCATTTTACTTCAAATCACCAAATTTGGTCAACAAATAGAGTACTTTAAACCGATCAACTAATCTGACCTACAGTTCAAGTTTTTAAAGCATATCCTATTTTCTTAATTTCCCCCAGATGAACAAAACCCAGAACCCACAAATCATAACCAACCCAGACCAAGATGCCCATTTTTAATCAAGCAATGATTTTAAAAAATTTCACGAAAAAAAGGATTAGTCAAAGTAATTATTGGTTAACAGAAAACAGACCTAGTGGTTTACCCATCATTTGCTCTTGAAAGTCACAATCTCCAACTCAAATACAAGCACGGAAGAATCTTGTTAACTTATCTTTCCACCATCATTTGAATTTCCAGTGCTCTTTTCCCATCGATCCTACCTATAAGCCCCCAAACTCTCGATGATTTCTATATATTCAAATTAAAATATTCATCAACCAATTTTTTTTTTTTTGTGTTTTATATAATTCATTTCTTAATCCAAATCCTTTCCATCGATCAATAAATTAGCCTATGCGTTCTCTTCCCTCTTCTGCAATCCCAGGATAACTAACACAACCGAAAAACCAAACCATGTTCCCATTTTTCAGGTACAACTCTTTCTTCTTCTTCATATGCCTATGCTTCCTCTGTTTTTCCCCCCCTGCCTTTCCCGCCAGAATTTTACCGGACTCAGTAACTGTATTAACCGCCGCCTCCGACGTCCACAACGCCACATGGCACGACTTCTCAAGGTTCCTAGACGCCGGGAAAGGAAGCCTAGTTAGCGGCATGTCCGAGCTCAAGAACTACTTCCACCGTTTTGGCTACTTACCCAATTCCAACTTCACTGATTTTTTCGACACAGAATTTGAGTCCGCCTTGACTCTATACCAGTCCAAGCTGAGCCTGCCCGTCACAGGCAAGCTGGACACAGACACCATCTCGGCGATAATTTCACCGAGGTGTGGTGTCAGTGACATGTCGCAACATACGGCTCTGCATGCGACGCGTCACTTCGCCTACTTCTACGGCAAGCCGAGGTGGGCGCGCCCTTCCCCCGTATCGCTCACATACGCTTTCTCCCCCAATCACATGGTGAGTTACCTGAACCCATCAGATGTTCGAGACATTTTTCACCGCGCTTTTTCGCGGTGGTCGGCGGTGATCCCTGTGAACTTCACCGAGACCGACGACTACGCTTCCGCGGATATTAAAATAGGGTTTTACCGCGGCGACCACGGGGACGGGGAGCCGTTCGACGGGGTGTTGGGGGTGCTGGGGCATGCTTTTTCGCCCGAGAACGGGAGGTTCCACCTGGACGCGGCGGAATCATGGGCCATTGATTTCAAAACGGATAAGTCAAAGGTGGCTATTGATTTGGAATCGGTGGCGACTCATGAGATAGGGCATGTACTCGGGCTGGCTCACGCCTCGGTCAAGGAGGCCGTTATGTACCCGAGCCTGAGTCCTCGGACCAAGAAGGTGGACCTCAAGATTGATGACGTGGAAGGTGTCCAAGCTTTGTATGGGTCCAACCCTAATTTCAAATTTGGCTCATTGCAGAGTGAAAATTCTTACAACCATGCAGTTTCTTTGAAGTCAAGGTCTTCCTTTAGGTGGTCCATTTTGTTAACACTCACCACCACTTTGGTATTGCTCTTAGGCCTTAATTTGGCCACCTGAGAATTATTGGTAGGCTCTTTTCTTAACCTCTTTTTTTTCTTTTTTCTTTTTTTTTTTTTCAAATTGGTCGAAAATTCTTATACTTGTATTCTTTATAGTGAAATTGTAGGGACAAAATACTAAATAAAAGTTAAATGAATTCTTTCTATATAATCTTTTTGTATTAGGCTGAAAACCATAAAACACGTACTTTTTCTTTTTCTTTTTGTAGACTCTCATTTATTTATGATTTTTTAGATATTTTTTTTGTCAAACAATAGATTAAATGTTAGATTAGTCACAAATGAGGTTCGAATCCATGCCGTCATGCAAGAGCTCAACTCCTTCCACCATTGTGGTAAAGAGCCACTTGTGGCTATTTGGATTGAATGAATCAAAAGGAAATCAAGAAACATGATTAAACGGGATATGCACAAGAAGAAAATGGATATGGGAATCATTTTTAAAAGAAGGCAGAAGGGAAAACCCCAGAAGGAGAATGACAATGAGAAGTCAATGCTTGTGTCTAATTAAGCTGAGGACTAATAAATCCTAGCTAGTGGGAATGTTTTGTGCGATGGAAGTCCTATGCCACCAACCCAATTTCTGTGATATATACAAATAATATGCTTGACCTAAAAAGGCGAGGAAATAAAGGGTATCACTTGCGTCCCAGGATAGATAATCGTACCAGTTTCTCACAGAACAAGTCAGAAGGAACAATCTAACGTGCATGGGAGGATTTATAAGCTCGTCATCGTCTAGAAAAAAAGGGTATTACGATTGTATGAATTAGGGATGGGCAAATACCCATTGGTTATGGGTAACCGCGATTACCCGCCCATTTAAATTAAATGGTTACGGTTATGGGTAACCGTTTAGATAAATAAACAGTTATGGGTATAACCGTTTACCCGTGAAATTTAAATAGGCGGTTATGTGTATTAACCACGGTTATCAATGGGTAACCATTTACCCATTTATTTTATATATGTAAAACTAACACAAACCATGTTCTCGATCCAATAATACTTAGCACCCAATAAATTAGCAAGGAATTCATCGGTCATTCTCTCAATAACACTGCTACAGGAATGATGATTCTCATCATCAAGGAATTCGCCAAATTAATTTAAATTCCTTGCGCGTAATTGTGAAATTGACAGAAATGTCTTCTAAACAATTTTTGTAACCCAATAATACTTGACAAATATTATATTTACCTTCATTGGTAACAGTTAAAAATATCATTCGTAAACTATTATTTCAATTATTGAAATGGTATAAGGACTTAAAAAATTAAAATACGGAAATGTATGATGAATGTACCTATAATGGTGTATAATTGTAAAAAAAAAAAAAAATTATGACAATTTATTTATTTATTTTCAAGTTGTTAAAAAACATGTAGACGGGTGAAAAAGGGGTAATAGTAAAAAAAAAAGATAAACGGGTTAAAACGGGTAAATGGGTAAACGGGATTAAACGGTTACGGTTAAATGGGTATGCGGTTATGAGTATGGTTAACTGTATAAACAGTTATGGGTATGAGTATTACCGTTTAGGCAATTACCCAACGGGTAAACGGTTATGCGGGTATGAGCATAAACGATTATGAGTAAATAACCGCAGTTACCCGCCCGTCATAACCGTTGTCCATCCCTAATGTGAATGCACTCCCTTATGGGCATTTTCTTACCAAGAAGTTCTGCATCAGCCATATATAGCTAGCAAGTTTGACAAGTAATACTACACTTACCGCCTATTTATATCATCATTTGTAATTGTATCATCTCTCTAATAAAGGTAGGACCCGCTAACGCATGTGAGTCTCATCTCTATTAGAAATATGGTACAAATAGATAATAAGAGTAGCATTTTTGAAGTTTGACTGTTAACAATTTTAGAGCTTGCCATTTGATCATCTTTTTTGGACAAGTGGAGCAACATTTTAAAGTCACTTTACCTCGCCCTTGGCATCAACCCCTTGGTCATCTTTCTAATAAAAGCCTTCGTGCTTTATCTCATTCTGTTATGACATGAATTTTTGGGACGTTAATGATTGTTAAATTTGTCCGTTAACTAAACAGACTTGTTCTCAATTTTCTTTATGCTCCATTAATTCATGTATTTCGCAGGAGGAAAACTAATGAAAATAGCTTGAAAACTTTGAGTTTTAATCAAAATGACAAAAAAGTGTTGTAAGTGAATAGTATCAGGAATGACTTTAGAGTAAAAATATCATTTTCGTTAAAAATGAACAGTATCAGGAATCTTTCATAAAACTTCATTTGGCGGGATTACCATGTTTCTACTATCAATTGGGCATGATGCTTTCTCACGATTATTGATGATCGTACCAATTGTACATGGGGAGGCATGGGTCCAGGCCCGACAAGGGTGGGCTCTAGCCCATCATAATTTTTAACCCATACCCACAATAGCCCATCTAGACTGAGCCCAATAAATATTTTCCAAAAGCCCAAACCAATAGCAACAAACACATCGATTCGCTCTCTGACAGAGCTCGTGCCGCTAAAACCCTAAACCCTTTTGACATCATTTTTCAGATCAGATCTCATCTGCATATTCACATCATTCGTCCACCGCAAGCCCCTGCAATGGCTTCAGCCTGCAGGCAATTCGCCAACAGAGCTTCCCTATCGTCCATCCGATCCGCCGTCAGATCCAGCGTCCCAAAATCTTCCGCTTCACGCTTCCCTCTCCCCACCGCCTCCTCTCCCTCCTCCGCCCCTCTTCGACGTTTCTCGCTCTCTAGGTTTGCGTTTTATTTTGGTTTTCATTTTATTCCTCTTTAATTTCATACTTTGTGGTTTTTAACCATTGGGTTTGGATTGTTGCTGTGCGTTTTATTTGGGGCAGGCCTCCAGGTGCGTTGGGATGCGTTCAGTCACTACTTCCACTCCACAGCGCGGTGGCGGCGGCGAGGTTGACGTCGTCGCTGAGCACTACATCGAGGAGCTGCCGAGCGCTCTCACAGGGTACTCTCTGCCGCACCTCTCCCGGCCTCTAATAAAAAAATTTGCTTTCTTTTCTAACTGTGAGTCACTTTTGCTTTTATCACAATTGTAATAATTGTGTTTATTTCCATCCCATGTCTTCGTTTTCATGTTTGATCACTTGGGTTCTCCTCAAAATTTGAGCTTTGCCTTGTTGTTTCTGTTGAGTGTTGCATTTGAACAGACTTGATTGATTAGTAATTCCCCTTTTGCAATGCATTTTTGTGTCCGGTGGAACCCGAATAGGAAATTTAACTTATAGATCGTCCCTTGTACACTTTCAGAGATAATTACGGTCTAGAATAGTAGTAACACAATTTTGGGTAACCCAAAATGCGTTGTTGCGTCTTTGAAACTATGAGCACTCTCTGTGTAAGATTGGCTCATCAGGTTTCCTCTAGAGCTTCCTGGCTATTCAACGAGGTTGTAGTTTTGATAATAAGAAATTTTAAGGAAATGAAAACGAGGGTGGATGTGCTTTTGATAGGGATGTTATCTGACTGGAATATTTGGTTCCTGCAGGCACATAATGTCCATTATGCTTGAACCTGCTAGTTAAGGCTTGCTGCGTCATTACCAAGTACGAAACTATGAATTTTCCTCAAAAACCTTAAAAATGCTTAACCATGTTAGTTTGGAGGCTTGTATTTCATCTTTCGTTTGATTTGGTCAGTTTTTATGATTGTACCGGCACTTGCCACATTTTGGTTTCTGTGTCCACAATCTGTTTTGCTGTTTTAGTTTGATAATCTGTAGATTAGGTATGTCCAACGATTAATATAGGTTGCTATTATGATGAAATGTTTTCCATTGGGCTGTAGTACACTTAATTCATCATATTTTGGCCATATTACGACAATATATTTTGAGTTTGAAAGTGAGCATATTGGGTTAATGTCTTGAAAACCGTAGCTAATGTAAGTGTAATGCTAATATGGCAATAAGATAAGATTGTATGGAGATAACAAAAGAAAACTTAAAAGTACAAATACTTTGGCTTAAGTTTGTTGAACTTATATTCTTATACCATGTCTAAAATAATAAAATGCTTTGATAACATAGCTGCTCCTTGTCCCAGATGGAATTGATGGTACGTGAGACATGTATGCTGTATATGGAGGTGGGCCCTGCCATTTATGGTCATTGTGTCTGACTTAAAACTAGATATACGTACATGTTGATCGGTGATTATTGGACAATGTTCCTACCCATATGTATTATGAGAGCAAGTTTTAGTGGATGCTGCATATTTGAGTTTACTTTTTTTTAGTTTATTTTTGTTGTAGAACATCTCTGAAACGTCCCCATGATCACATTTCTTTAACGTTGTTGTGGAGTCGTTCTGATTGGGTTCCTTAGTTAAAGAAACTGGGAGTGCAACAGTCTCTGCATTATTCTCCTCTTATAGAGGGTTTCGGTTTGTTTCCTAATTTAAGCCTTTGTATTGTTTGATGATCCAGAGCTTGGTCGGTCAGGTCCAAGGTGATTCGTAGCAGGCTGTCACAGTTACAAGAAGTTACCCTTCACAGGAATGGAAAAGCAAACAGTTTGTAGTTTTATTTATTCAAAACCCTTATTGAAGCTAAAATTGATTTTTCCTAAAGATAGGATGCCATGCCAGCACTTGTTGCATAATAATTCAATTTGCTTGTTCACTATGTATTTATGAATCTTTGATTTCGAACGTTAATCCGTGTTCCTTGCCTTCCTTCTTAAGTCTAGTTTACCATGCTTGATGCCCATCCCTTTGATATATGCAATCTAAGGTTGCATTTTGTGATTTTTGGTGAATTGTTCGACGTTATCTCCTTGAATCATGTTTTTAGAGAGACAAATTTCACAGGGAGGCTTTGACCTCTCTTGGTCACTCGCAATATTTCCTGAGTTTGGGATCATGGTCACTCGAAATATTTCTTTAGTTTCGGACCTAAGAATTTCTCCTTATGTTGACTAATCTTTTGGAGTTGAGATTGGATCATTTTAGTTGGGAGTGTAGTCGGAGTTTTGTGTTCAAATTTAATTTTTTCTTAAGCAAAAACAAAATGGAAGGGTCAATTCTCCTAGTGGAGCAAAAACCAGATAGAAAAATATAGCCATGAAGCTGCATGTCTTGATATGGGATTAATATTCAACACTTTTCATAAGTGAAAAGAAATTAGTTCACTGTTTGGACAGAAAGCAACATGTCCTTGAAATAACGGGGATCCTCTCCGGATTCTCTTTGTGAGGATTCCGGAGATATTTCAATCACGTTCGTTTGTCGTACATCGTACAAATAATTTTCATTAGATATTGTTTATATTCAATTTTAATTAAAAAAATTATAATGATTTTCGATCGTACATCGTGAGGTCTTCGTACAAGCCCCATGACGACGAACCTTTGCAACACATAACCCAAGTTGACAAAATCACACCATCAGTGTATACAAACTTGAAGTAAGATTCTATTTCCTCCTTACCTATTTCATCCCTCCGCACTTTTGTTTTTGTTTTTGTTTTAGTTTTTTTGTTTTCTAAAAGAAAAACATTGCATAATATTAATGTGTCTTAATTGTAACTGTTCAAATAAAAGAAGATAAAACGGAAGAAATATTAAAAAAGGTAGAAATCCTGTTCCTACAGACTTTTGCACGACTCATACTTTGTCGGACAGAGGTTTGTTTGTTTGAACGAAATGATTCATCGCCAAAGCAGTTAGTTTAATTTTTTTATTTAAAAAAAACTAAATAATAAAATTTGAAGTCTTAAATATTTGCTACTTTTATTAGGTTTAATGGTATCCGCTCTACTTCAAAGTTGACAATCTTTAAGTTGAACACAAAAAAATGAATTCGATGCCTAATTATATGATTGGTTTATTGTCTAACTTTACTCAAATCTTCACACTCCAAATACCTTTGTGTTAAAGAAAGTGCACTATCAACATCTACACAGAGAAAATACAATCATCCTTTTGATTAAATTCAATCATCCTCTCTTGTACTAATTGTTCAATACACATAGGCCTCGTTTGGCAGCTCGGACTGTACTGACTATTTCTGTCGGATAGGATAAATAGCCACCGGATAGTACTGACTAAATTAGTCGGGCGTTTGGTGCAGTATCGGATTAATAACCGTATTATTTATACTATGTTTGGTATTATACCGGATAAGTGGAATTCAAAATATTAATATTTTAAGATAAAAATTGATACTTTTAGGTTTATTTTTCTTCACTTTGCAGAAAAGAAGCACTTTGCTTCTCCCATTCCCGAAGCAAAATGAAAGGCACTCTACAAAGACCATCAACACCGAAGCCTCTAAAATCTCCACCTCTCTGTCATTTGAAGCACTTTGCTTCTCCCATTCAAGTTTCGTCAGTCCATCGCGAAGATGAAAACCCAGAAGCAAAAAATGGAGAAGATGAAAACCCAAAAGCAAAAAGATGGAGAAGATGAAAACCCATAAGCAAAAAATTGAAAACCCATAATTGAAAACCCAGAAACACCATAATTGAAAACCTGGGTTTCGTCTGTCTAGCTACCTTTTCTTCCTTCTTGGGCTCCCCTGTTGCCGGAGCCTCTGCTGGCAGTTGGGAAGGAGGGAGAGACAGAGCAGCAATACCTTGGTGGAGTTCGCGTTGGGCAGGATCAGAGAGGGTCGGAGAGAAGAGCATACGGGAGCGCGAACCCGACTAATTATACCAACCTATTGGAGAGGATAGCTAAGCGGGTGCGGAGTGTATTAAAATGGTGGGCCTGGATTATTTAATCCGGTGCTTATTTAATCCAAACGACCACCAAACACCGTACATCGTATTATTAGTACTATCCGGCGTCTTATACGGTGTGCCAAACATGGGGAAACCGGAACACTTTGGACATATACCATTATTTGGACTAAATAGCCCTTCGTTCTTGCAGCCTTCAAGAATAAATAATACGATAAAACATTTGAAGTAGGTAATTCTAGTGGACCCGGCTTCTCTGCCCTCTTAGTTTTTACATTCTTATCATCTCCTATTTTGTACGATCACGGTTAAGTCACGTCAACATTTTATATTGATTTTTTTATAGAGATAATAAGACAAAAAAGTAATAGTGATATAAAATGTTGATGTGACTTAACCGTGACCGTACAAATAGGAGGGGATGAGAATGTATGAGAATTGGGAGGGCAAAGAAGCCAGGTACAATTCTAGTGGATATTCATTAGTACATCACTTCTTTTGAAATAAAATATAAAATTTACTAGTACTACATTTTAATGACTTTTATTCATTTATTTATTTGTAAAGTAAGAGATTTTAAATTTTACTCTCATAAATAATGAGTTTAATACTATATTACTATGGAGACTATCATATTGTGTGGTTTAACTTATCCCACTAGATACCAAAGTAGTGAAACTTTTAATTTTTTTTTAACAAACGATATTATCGACCTTAGGGATGAATGAATGGGTTAAACATCACAATAAGTTAGCAATAATATGGTTCAAATTCACCTTTCAAAACAGTGAAACTTATACTTCCACATCCTCACCACTGAGCATGACACTTGTTACACCACATTATACTAATAGAAGTATGATCTACTTATATTAATTGACCTTTATTAGAGAAGTGGTACAATCTAGCTATCAAAATGCGTTCTCCCAATATTCTCGTAGAGTGTAGATTACGGTATCAAATCAAGAACTATTATATTTTTGGACCCGGCTTCTCTGTCCTCCCACTTCCTATACACTCCCATCCCTCTTATTTTGTGCAATCACGGTTAAGCCACGTCAACATTTTTTATTGATTTTTTTTATAGAGATAATAAGACAAAAAACAATAGTAATATAAAATGTTGACGTGACTTAACCGTGACCGCACAAATATGAGGGGATATGAGTGTATGGGAAGTGGGAGGGTAGAGAAGCCAGGTCCTATATTTTTAAAGGAATGAATCTGCACATCATCAAACCAATTATTTATTTATTTATTTTTATTTTTTGTAGTAGTTAACCAAGAAGGTAATTATTACCCTATAGTTTTAGTTTTTAATGGGAAATCACAAAACAAATTTTATATTTATTTTAATTTTTAAAGATGTTAAATTTTTTTTAATTTTATTTTAATTTTCAAAGATGTTTTTAACACTTCAAATGAAATATCTTTACACATTTTTTACTATTTTGCATTATGTCAATAATTGTTTATTTTTTTTCAATTACAAATGATGTATTACTACTCTAAACTAAATTCAAAGAAGAGGGGAGGAATTAAACTTAAAATGCGGTGAGTTCAAACCTAGACGGCCACCTAGGCGCTAGGCGATGAAGTGCTGCTGCAATTTGGACCAAATCGTCTAGCTGAATCGCCTAGGAGTTAGGCGCCCGCCTAGACGCTCTCTAGGTGGTCTAGGCGACCTAGGCGGTGGCCAAGGTTGTAGTTTTTTTATATATTTTTTTATTTTTTTTTCTGGCGAATTGACTCTTTGGTCTTCGGTGGTTGTCAGCGTCACATCTTTCATTTCCAATCGTTGTTGTATCTTTAGCAGAAAATGAAAGATCTAAAGAGAAGAGGGAGGATGGGAGAGAAGAGAAAGAGAATAGTTAAGATTGCAAACTTGCACCACATCGGAGGAGGAAATTTATAGAGCAAAAGCAAGATAGAAGATGAAGAAGTGAGAGACGAGGAAACGTAAAAAAACAAAAAAGAAAACCAAAATAAAGGCGTTTTCATCAAATGTGTTGGTGTGTGTGTCCCGACTCTTATCATTCAATTGTTTTTAATTTCTTTACATTATGTCTGACATAAATTGGGGCATTGGGTTATGAGAGAGGGTGGGAACCGTGGGATGAATCTTTTGGTGTGGCTTCACGGATGGGAACCTTGAATGATGCGAAGGAGGTTGGGTGGAGGGATTTAAAAAAACATTAAATACTAATTTTATTCAAAATATCGTATTTTATTCTTAAAAATTAAATTGTTTTGTTTGGATATTCTAAGTAGAGAGGGGGATTTTTTGAGACTTTCCTCTCTTTAAGACCACACCGTATTATGCTTAAAATTCTAACATCACATATGCTATTCTTTTTTTATAAGAAATAACATATTCTTCATGTTTGTTTTTATATCATATGGTAAATTTAATTAATTTATAATAAATATACTTAAATCCGTCTAGACCTCCGCTAGGCGCTAGACCCCAGCTCACTGCTCGACTAGCGCCTAATATTTTTTAGAACCTTAGGTGAGTTAAAAAAAAAAGGTCTTATATACCAAAACAATTGATTATTCATGTAATTATCTAAACTACATATTAATGAAATTCTCTTTGTCAGCTAAAAAAGGGTAAAACGATATTTTTGTCTTTTATCACAAAGTAAAATTATAACAATAAAGTAATTTTATTCAAACTAGGGGTGTATTCAAAGTCCCAATTGAATACTATAATACCCTGGAAAATTTAAATATATATGATTAT